TTTTGATTTGCGCCTTTTACCAAAATTCCTTAAAATGTTTGGTCTACAAAAGCCCTCTACTTTGGAAAAGTTTCGAGAATATCGTTTGAAGAACGTCGGTCGTGGCTTACGTGCAATGGCTCTTAACGGCTGATCAAGTTCGAACTATACTATACGTTTTCTCATAATGTCTTCTATTCAACGCTTAGCTTAATAAACTGAAAGGACAAACATACAACTAACTGGTGCGTGTGTCTGTTTTTCATTTGTTGTTAAAAACTATTTATTAAATAACTCCAAAGCATTTCATGTTGTTTGCAAAAAAGAAAAAGAAAATGTGTACCAAAAAAGCCGAAAAACTGCTACATAATTCTAGAAACAAAAGTCCAATAATAATCGATAAATTATATTAAGCGTAAAAGATTTATAAAGTTCAAAACACACATGAAGACGTACCCGCACAGATGTCTTTCAGAAATGCATTCACTAAACGGTGACTAAAACAATGAATAGCAACAGCAGTTTGTAAAGCTGGTAAAACAACATCAGAATAAAAATTTTGATTTTCCCAGTCTTACATATACAAACCAGCCGGAAACTTCCTGGATTTTCCAAGAAAACAGAAGAGTGAACGTTTCTATGGAAGAAACGGTCAGAGAATCGTTCCCTTCCATATCCACTTTATGTAACGCCACGAACGCTGGCCTATCTCTCTGTAATTATTCCGTTGTACTATCAAAGCAGCAGACAAGCAGCATTCTCAATTACAAATTGAGAAATCAATATTTCATATTAAAGTCACAAATGTGGCCAGCATGCAACAAACGACTTCGACAAATCGATAAACGAAATCTAAGTTAGTGTCTAGAGACGCGATGAAGGTTGGGATTTAATAAAGTTTTATAACTATGTAATAAATATGTGTAATTCATGAATAACTTTTTTCCGAAAATGAATGTTACTTATTCTTTCATGTTTAATAAGAACTAGTTATTGTTGTTGAAGGTGATGTTGAACTCGTTGAATTACATTTTGAGATGCACGTCTTGCACCTTGAATTACTTGTTCTTTGTTTATTGATGTTAACTTTCCTTGACTTTTTAGAATTCTTCCATCCACAATAACTGTATCAACATTAGCACGTTGAGCAGCTTCTACTATTAGGTTAGCAGGTTCTGTAAGAAAACCCAAATTTATATCATCTAGATCTATCATAATTAGATCAGCACGTTTCCCGACGGTTAAAGATCCAATTGTATCACTCATGCCTAATGATCGAGCACCTTCAATCGTTGCGATCTCTAGCACTCTTTGAGCTGTTATGCTAAATTCCTTTTTGTTTAAAGCATTGGTCAAATTATAGAATACCTTCATAACAGCAAACATATCAGTATTTCCAGTTAAGGCTGTTGAATCGATCGATAAACCCATTGTCAATTTAGCATCCAACATTTGAGGAATCGGTGCTATGCCATATCCAAGTCGAAGTTCAGTGAACGGCGCTATACAAACAGGTGAATTGGACTTTCCCAACTGTTTTACCTCAGCATCTGTGGCTGGAACAGCATGAATTATTTGTAAATCTACGCCAAGCATATTTTCCGAAGCTAATTGAGTAATATCTCCTGGATCATTTGCATGATATGATATTGGAATACCAAGTTTTCTGCCAAATTCAAGTTCTTTTTTGCCAAGATCGAAGTCTGGATGTAATCCTCGCCAAGCGATACCTAATGCTAACAACCCATCATTTGAGTAATCACGGCTCCAATTTGTGTGCAATTTGGTTATTGCCTAAAAATAAAGAAATTTAAATTTTTGAAAGAGAAAAAATATCCCTCGACTGGAAATCAAATCCAGCACATTGGTTCTCTAGTCCAATGCTCAGCCATTGAGATATCAGACTCTGTCTAATGTATCTTAATTCTCCCTTTTGATCGATCCATAGTGGAAGCATTTTTAAGCATACGCCGCAACACACTTCTTACCTATCCCCTTCGAGGTTAAAGTAATTGAAAAAGCGTTAACGTCTCGGTAGCTTATTGGTAGAACATTGAATTAGACGACCAATGCAAAACTCTTGGTAGTCCGCAAAAGTTCTCATTTTCTCGAACAAGACATTCTAATCAAATAATTTTACTTGGTCCTAGAAAAATAATTTTTTGGTTTAGATTCAACAGGACCAAAAATTTATTTTGTTCGAACAAAAGATTATTCATCAAATCAAATCAAGTTTTTTGTTGACAAATAGCAATATCGAAAATAGCGTGTCATATTTTGCAAGATGTTTTCCCACTTTTGATTAAACAACTATTAGTTTTTATTAATGACACTGAAGATTGGAAGACCATAGTGAGTTTTACAAAATTAATTAAAACATACTATTAAGAATGCTGCGTAGAAGAAGAGAAGTATTTTCATTAATTAGTGCAGTTTAAGACTAAACACATGAAAAATGCTTAACACATTGGCGGCTACAGTACTCTTCAAAAGTATCCTCCTCTAAACATTGTCAGAAAGCTTTCATAGTACAGCACTTTTACTACTAACAATGGGCAACAGGGCAGAAAACAGCTGAAATTTAGTGTATGAAAACTTTCTGACATTCCACCTGTTGTTTTTTTCGCTGTATGTTCTCATGCTTATATTTTTGCGTAATTCTGATGCATATTAGCCGTAGACGCTATGATAGAACGAATGACCCTTAGTTTCTCATGTTCGTGTTCCCACATATGTTTTAATAGTGTCTATTCATTGTTAATGAATTGTGGAAGGTATACAATAGTTAATCTCGAAACTTTGGGTAAATAATCTGCAGACACTGTCGAGCATTTAGCACAATTTTGAAAGTTATTATTATCATTATTATTACTATTTGAAGCGTACTAGAGGCCATCAGTGACGTACATTGCCGCCAATGCGTTAAGAGACATCTGAACCCAAAGCAAGCCATGTCTATGTGCCAGTTTTTATCGAACGTCACTAATTAAAATAGTCTAAGCATTTCTCTATCAAACAAAAAAGAATGAAGTGATTTCCTCATCGGAAAATGGCGGAGCTATGAAAACTTTGTTTTCGTTCGGACTTTTAGAACACTCTGTATGCTACTTATGTTGAATAAAAATGCTTTAGAACATCAAAACTAACGTCTTACAGCATGAGAATCCAATTTTTGACTAAAGACTAGTCCTGCTTCTTAATCAAAAAGAGATCATACAGCTTTTTGTTTTTTTAATAATTGCAATAGTTCCAATAATCTAGCGAAAGACTGTTTGTCATCGGCTTTTGTTGCTAAAAGATATGTAGGTTTTCAATAAAAATATCAACCTAAGCACATAATGCCTATCAACCTAATCGATTAATGTTCAACCAAATGTAAGTGATCTTATAAAATTTGAAAGATGCCATGTGGAGAGCTGAAAGGCGTCTTGTTTTTGTAGATAAAAGTGCGTCCTGTAAAATTCATTACAAACTCAATTCAAAATATTTGAGCATTTATCTTTGATGATCGTTTTACGAAGAGCTTTATTCCAGTAAAAATTCTTTGGAGCTATTGGCATTCGGCTTATGGCAAAAAAAGTAATCGAATAATTCGAATTAAGTCCTTAGTGAATTTCGTGGGACACACTTTTATCTACAAAATAAGATGTCTCTAAATGCTCAACAGGGTATTTTCAAATTCTAAACACCGTCATAATAGTCCAAAGTTGCACATGACCGCATCACAAGTGACTTGAATAGAAGAGGTTCTAGATCAGTTTCTAACAGTTAGCTAAAAGTCCTGTTTAAAAGTACCGCTTAGTCTCTAGACGAAGGAAACATTCACAATTGGCCTATTGTCCGATAGAAGAATTAATAGAAAAAAATGTGAAATCAGAAAAACTTACTTTTAAATCAAGCGGTTGCTGGGGGTTTGGAGCAGAAACACCATAAGAAAATCGTCCTCTAACATTTAGTTCTTTTAATGCTTTTATACTCGATAGTGCATATTCGACATTTTGTATATTATGGCACCAGTTATGTACAGTTGTTATCCCTGATGATATGGCTTCTGTACAAGCTAACATTGTACCGTGATACATATCTTCTGCTGTGAAATATGTCCCATACAACGCTTTCACTTTAAAATACCCTATACCATGTCTACTTGCTAAACTACGTAACAGGGCTGTCCACATATGCCAATGGGTATCGACTAGACCTGGTAATACAATCATTTTACTACCATCGATAATTGTTGCCGATGTAGGATAATTCTGGGTGTTTGAGGTTTTGCCCACAGACTTAATTTGACCATTTTCAATATAAATATCTCCACCAGAAATATTTCCCAAAAGAGGATCCATCGTCATAATACATGGAATATTACGAATCAAGATATTCGGGCGATCATTATTAACCGAGGCCATTGTTTGATATTTTGTTAGGAAATGCACCAAAATTATTAACAAAATTCACACTATAATGATCTAGATTAAGAGCATCACACAATTCTTTATCTGATAATGAAAATGACCCAGTCAGTCATAGTCATTCCAGAAAAGCGCAGGAAACTATGTTTAGGAAAAATTTTACGCGTTTATCGAGTTTCGAATAATAACGCGCAAGAAGCTGCGAGTGTGTAAAAATAAACCGCAGGAAACGCACGTTGCCGTGGAAACAAAGGGTTTACACGCGTGTTCCTGCGGTTTATTTTTACACACTCGCAGCTTCTTGCGCGTTATTATTCAAAACTCGCTAAACGCTAAACGAGCAAAACAGAGTTTCGTGTGCTTTTCTGGAATGACTATGACTGACTGGGAAAGGACCATTGGGATGCAGAATCATAAAACCACTTCTCATAATACTACATCGATAGGATGTATGTTGTAGTACATCCTTTCCCTTTGTTAAAAAGGGGAATTTTCATTCATTAGCCAGTGCTTAATGGTTATTTTACCTGACCTAAACGTTGATTCATCACAGCCCTCACACAGAATGAGAAAAAAACGAAAGTAAAAGAAAGTTTTTCTTTCGCACCGACGAAAAATTGATTCATACAATATAAGAATGTTTTTACTTTTCTGGTTAACAAAGTCGAGAGAGTAAATGCATGGCATCACAAACTTAAATAGGCGAGACCACGTGGCGGTGCAGAGAGAGCACACTCTTCCTTGAATATATAAAAGGTTGATGAAAAAGATGGAGTATAAAATTTGTTCTTTTCTTGTTTTAACAGAAACAGAATAATTCCTCTTATAGGAAAGTTCAAATAGTAGGAGAGTAGAATAAATTGTAAAAGAAAAGCAGATGTGGTTTTGATCGATTGATAAAAGACTAATCTTTTGAAACAGAACGGTTAATTGTCTTTGAAGAAGTAATCAAATCAATTAGAAAAAAAAATCAAGCTGCTGTATGCATCTATATAAAATGAAATTTGGGTAACAGCAGAATACAGAAATACTGGCGAAATGGAGTTGTTTTGTTGGTCTGCTTCTACTTCGTTTTGTGAATATGTAATAATGTGTATCTCTTTCTGTGACTCTCATATTTCTCTCTACTCCCTACCTTTTTTCAAAAAAGGACTGGATCTGGAGTACAACTCATAATGCTAACAAATTACGGATGCCTCTGGAAAATGTTTAACTATTTTTGTATAAAAAAAAGGAATGGCTAAGCTTTTTACTGAAAGTTTCTCTTTTGTCATAAATAAAGTATTTATACTTAATGTCATCTTTTCTATATTCTTCGTTTATCAGTAGATCGTGCTTAAAACAATTTCGTAACATTAAATAATACCGGTTAAATATACAAATCAATTAAGTCACGTATAGTACAGAAAGGCATAAATACATACGTTCATTCTGTTATACGATAGTTCCACATCCGTTTTCTCAAGCAGATTAAACAATACTGTGCTCCATTTTCTTATCAATCCAGTCACCAGTGAATTCATTCACCGGTAAAAATATTCATCGATGCGAATTTTGACGGCTTCCGTTGACGAAAATAATCATAGAAAGATTAACGCTTTTATTCTTGAACTCGATTCAGATCGATTGTTCTCCAGTTTGCTGCATTGAATACTTTCTTGAAAAGGCACTCGTAGAGCAGATACGATTTGTTTACATTCGTAAATGTTTTACTTGTGTACAAAACTGATTTTGTGAAACATTTTCTTCGGAAGAGAAATAAACTGAAAGATGCTTATTTTAAATTCACAATTATTGAACTGTAAAACTTGGTTAACCTTTATAACCTGCGAATCTCACAAAATGCGATAGTTTTTGAAGATGGACAGGACTTAGTTGGAAAAACAAACCTGCTTAGAGGGTTGTCTATGCTCGTAAAGAGAGAATATTGAAGTCTCACAAATTCAGGAACTCCCGCTCCACACTTGGAATATATCTACTCAAAAAGGACTACACTACTAGCGTGTAACACTACATTGCACTAAAGCTTACCGTGTCTAATCCCAAAAATGCTTATTTACCTTTGTAGTCATAGAGAACCGTCTTCAATACCCGTGTGAAATAAAATGTGCTTTGTGAACATGGGAAGATAACGTTAAAACCAAAATAATAAACATAACTGTACTCAAATTCAATTTAAGAACTGACTAATGCCAGATAACATGCTTTCGTTCTTTGTACTCAAACCATGTTATTAATATTCTAATTTGAACCTGTAGCAATTTAATTAAAAAATACCAGTAGCACACTAGCTGATTTTTCTCAGGATAGTGGTGAGTTGAAGAAACAGAAATATAGTCAAAGGAGCGAGCACTAGAGGAAAAACTGACTTGTAAAAAAATTTGACTTCCATTTACTGTCGTTTTAAGAAATTATTCTTGAAGTCATTTTTTGTCACAATTTGTAGAGTAATGTTTTACTGCTTCAGCCTTAGTCTCGCCCAGGTTTAACATTTTTGCACCAAATTTTTATTGCAAGTAGTATTCATAGATAAAAGCAAATTGCAATGCAATCAGCTTGAAATAGTATTTAGTTAAGGAGAAAAGTAGAAATTACTAGAAAGTGTAGTGCAACAGTTTTTCTCTGAGAATGTAGAGAATAAAATGGAATATTTCCCAGCAGCTCCTCCCAGATTTACACGGACTTCAAACCAGCAAGGTTATAGTATGCTACGTCTATAGCTTGCATCAAGTTACATAGCAATTCATGGTTTTTTTAGAGATAAAATGATTTCTAATCATAAGACGACTCGTATAAGCCCCCCCCCCCCCATAATAGAAGACCACTGACGAATAGATGACCACTGGTCTTCTATTAAGTCTGCCCTAAAATGCCTCGAAAATGCCCTATACCTACCTGTAGGGGAATTTTCAAAAAAATTTCGCCAAAGCGCACTTCTGATAGGGGACGGACTTCAAGTACGTGAGGTTACTGTTGGACTACTGACAGGCGACAAAATTTGACCGCAATAGAAGACCATCCTTTAGAAGTCGACTTGCGGACAACATAGAAGACC